TGCCAAATTGGGGTTATCCCGGCCCTCCCCCCATCCCCCAGGGGCAGAAGGGCCTCCGGGAGGGAGGGGGGGTGTGGTGGGACACGGCGGAACCCCAGGGAGGCCCCGCATCCCTCCCTGGGTCCCTGCCTGCATTCCCAGCAGCATCCCTGCCAAAGCCGGCTCCCCGCGCCTTTCCCGCTCGCCTGTCTCGGGATGTTGGGGCTCTTCCCGCTTTCCTGGTGCTGCAGGGGTGGGAGAGGCTGGGGGGGCACCTGGGGAGGGGGTGGGTAAGAAAAGGGGCAACAAGAAAGAGGGATAAATGCCCAACTGAACATATGGAGGGTGAAAGGGCAGGGTCAGCACGAGGGGAAAGGGCAACGTTCAAAAAATATCGATGTGGGATTTGTAGGGAGCCACAAAACCCTGGAACAGTTGGGAACCGATTAAAGCCAAGATAATTGATGAGAAACCACAAAGAGGTGACACCCAACACAAATCCCCCTTCATTAAACAACACATTAAAACTGAACTTCAGGCAAACTTTGCTGCTTAAAAAAACCCCAAACCAAACCAAAACAAGGTTTGCTCAAAGGAAAAATTGCCCAAATCCAGCCCCTAAAGCTCCTCTTTCCTGGACCTGTGGCCTTACAGGAGTTTGTCCTCTGAAAAATACACACACATAAATATATATATATAAATATATGAAATGATATAATACAATCATAGAATTATGGAATGGGTTGGGTTGGAAGGGACCTTAAACACCATCTCATTCCATGATATGATATATTGTATTGTGTTATAATGTATTGTGTTATATTATTATGTTATAAGTGCATATACACATATAAAGTCGAGTGTCTTTATATATACACATACACGTATTTATATACATACATACACACAACTATATATATCAAAAATATGCATGGCAGTGGGAAATATATATTCATATTCCATGCATGTGTGGAAACACAATCCAATTTATACCATATATCAGATTTTTTATGTCTTATATGCTTTATAGACAATATACAATGCACAGAAATACATGCAGACACACATAGACATGTTTACATTTATGTGTGTTTGCATATCTATATGAACACATATATAAAGTTATTATATATTATATCATAGAATCATGGAATGGGTTGGGTTGGAAGGGACCTTAAAGATGATCTCATTCCACGATAATATATTATTATATTGTAGTACATAATTTATTATTTTTGCATTATATATAAATATAATATGTATATATATTTCTGTAAGTGTGTATATATATATAGGCATCTTCTCTATATAGGCCAGATATGGGAAATATTAAAAATATTAAATAAATATATAAAAATACATATTAAAATATACGTTTGATTTCTCAGCCCAGCGTGCAGGTGCCAGGAGGAGGCTGGTGCTGATCCAGGCTCCCTTCCACCCTCATCCCTCATGGATAATCGATGGAAGAGCCTCCCTGCAGCCTCCTGGAGCCACCAGTGCTCCGGGAGAGGAGGAGGCAGGAGTTGGGGCCGGGCCAGGATCGATGGAGCTGTTCGGGGCCAAACCCGGAGCTCTGCTCTGCTGGAGCCACCCCCCGACCCCGTGGGGCTCCTCCAGGGGTCCCCCGGCCCCCCGTGCCCACGATGGAGGTCGGTGATGCCGCAGGAGTCGGGATTATCCTCCTGTTGACATCAGCCCTAATCTCCCTGCGCTGCCTCCCCACAGCCCAGCACGGGCTCGGCTTTAAGGGCAAAACATCACCGGGGGTGGGGGATTGGATTTCCGTGGATTTGCCACGATCTGATGGCACCGGGGGGGAATTCAGGAGCCCCCAAGGACCCCAACCACGAGCCCAGGGGGTTCAGGTCTGTCCCTCCTGCCAGAGCTCGGTCCAGGAGCAGCTCCACGGCCGGGGCTTGTCTGGGCAGGTGGGACCAGCAGCAAATGTGCCCCAATTTGGGGGGCCCCAACCCTGGTGGATGGTGGGGGGCAGCCCCTGGCACAGCAGATTGCAGGGCCTG